AGAATTCCAACGGCAATTTGAATGAATATTTTTCAATGCTATTATTCCCGGTGGAATTTTCCAATGGATTCCAACAAAAATATTCTCTTGCAATGAGTTTCCCATTGCAATTTCCGTTAGATTTTGATGATTCTGACGGTAGATTTTTCAACGGGAGTGGAAATAAAAATTCCAACGAAATTGCATATTCCAACAGAAATTCCTACGGTAAAACGTCGTTGGAAATATAGCCGTTGGAATCATCAAATTTCATATAAAATTTCAATGAAAAACACATCCCAACGGGATATTTTCGTTGGAATTGGAATTTCCGTTGGAATCATTCCAACGGAAGCTATACCATTGGAATATTCGTTGGAATATATTACTATAGGATTTTTTGTTGAATATAACAATTTTTTTGTGGTGATATACTAAGTTTCACTGTTTACGAGTGTTTGGTTTATGATTTTTTTTATCTATTTTTAAATTATGTTATTTTTTAATTTACAACTCATGTATAAATAATTTATGTATAATTTTATTTTAAACGTTATATTTTCAAAACAGGGCATACTAATAACCGATTTTCGATTGGATAAGTTTATTTTTTTATTTTAAAAAAATAAAAAAGGTATTAAAATTTGTATTTTTTCATTTTCTATAAATAGAGACCACACTTGATATATTTTGGAATAAAATTATAATTTTTTTAAATAAATTAAAATAAAATAAATATTTAAGTTCAGTTGGGTTGGAGATAAAGATAAATTGAGTTGTAAAGTTGAGTTGTGTAGGTAGATGAGAGAAAAATAATTTTTTATTATTAAGTTTGATTGAGGATAAAGATAGTCTAATAAACCCATCGTGAGTATAATTTGTGCCTCATATTATCATCCTCACTTTATTGGGGTGCCCGTTAATGAAAAAAATGTTTAATAGGTCTCCATCTTTATTTTGATGGCATTTTGTTTACCAAGATTTGTAGTGTATTTATTGAGTGTTAATTAATAAATTTACACATTATTAAAACGGTATATGTTTTGAATTTATTTTGTTAATATAATAAAAGTTACTACCTCTTTTTTTTAAATGTCATTTTAGCTTTATCTACTATTAACCAAATAAATAACGTTTTAGATCTTTTGTATATGTTTTTCTATTATTACTTTCATTTAGCTAATAATTACACTACGTCACTCTTCATATTTTCTTAAAACATCTATTGTATCTTCATTAATGAGAGTTATTATTGACAAAAAAAAAATATTCTTAATTATTGTGTAACTTATCAAAACGACACTTATTAAAAATAGGAGGGAGTACTATATTTTTATTCAAAATTGACACCCCACCAATAAGAATATATCTTGTTAGGTTATAATAGTATTTCTAAACATCTATATATATAATTGTTGGCAAGTTTCATTTAATTTTATTCAGCCTTCAATTAATAATAATATGAGTTCATTTAATAAAAATAGGTTGCATTTAATAAAAAAATTTATGACTTCCATCCAAAAACCGTTACAACATATTTTTTCTTTTAACTTATTCCATATAATCATCCAACTATTTTCTACTATATTTTGGATTTGTAACGGTTGAATGCAATTACTTTTTTTTATTTTTTTTTTTATATATTTGGAGAATGTAACTGTTATATGGTTACGAGATAAAGTTTAAACACTTAAATTTGAATGGTTAAAAATATTTTTTTTTATTTGTATGTTGACTATTCACATGCAAAAGAAGTATTAAGTATTGATATGCTATTGATATAACGCAAAATATATATTAGAAAAGTCATCTTTTGTAATAGAGATTTTTACACCAGCTCATTCAAATTTAAAATTTTCATTCAAAATTTTCATGCAAGATTGTACACTGTGTTAGTTGAATTTAATGAAAAATAATTATCCATTTTATTTTATATAATAAATATAGTGATGAATTTTGATAACTTTAAGATGTTTATTTTTACTAACGACAAAATTTTTAAAATGTGATACTATTATTTAACTTATAATTTTACAATTATACACATACACGTAACTTCTAAATTATAATAATTTAAATATATGTGCATGTGCACAGGATCAAATACTAGTATTATATAACATTCCGTATCACTTTATAGGGAATTAGGTTTGATATATAAATTTATTTGACTAATGGTTACTAATTTTACTATTTTTATAAGTCATGAATATTTTTGTTTCATTGGGATTCTTTTGTTTCATCGTTTTCTTGTAATGACAGTTGTTGTTAGACGAAAAGAAATACCAAAAATGACAAATAAGTGGAAACAAATTTCATTGTCTTATAAAATGGGTTTGATCGACTCATGTTAAAGAGAAAAATGTGTAAATCTTAAATTAATAGAAATACTAATTTCAACCTTTGATCATCGCATTAATATTCTATCTCGTTCCCAAAAACTCGCCCGAAACCTTAGCTCCTTTAATATTGCCGATTGAAACTCCCTCGCCGAAAGTCTGGGTCCGATGATGGACGGCCTCCATCACTCGTCCATGGAGGCGCAACCATCGTCTCAATTCCTGCAGTTGGGATCTGTCTTGTGCGTCGGCCATAGAAGAAGCTTCTCTGTTCTGGTTGCGCGCCAGAGTTCAGGTGCCGTTGGCTTTGGTCGGGGTGCGGTGCTGGTTCATGGACGAGGCTGGGTTAGCTGCACTTGGCTCTGGCTGGGACGCCTCCTATTCTCCTTGCTTGCCTTTCTTGCCGCCGGTCAGGACCGTGCCTTTCCGCCAGCGAAGCGGCGATTGGCCGGGGCAGCTTCCTGTTCGACATTTGGCTATGTTAATTGGAGGTTTGCCCTTGTTTCTGCTGCTTTTGTCTTGGTTTTTATTTTGTCCGTGATCGGAGGGACCTCTCTGTTCTTCCTTGGCGAGCTGGAATTGGAGGTTCACGATTGGGGGGTGGTAGTTATTGCTGGGATCGAATGCCGCTTCTAGTTTGTGCTCGGTTGTTTAGTTCTGTCCAACCGCTTCGGGCTGGGATGAATGGTTTGCTGTTTCAGGCGGGCTGACTCGGTGAAGCCGAGCCGTGTAGGTTTCTTTACGTGATTGGAGTGCGGGCCAGCCCTTCGATTAGTTCAGGGGTGTGGGTACCCGTCTTGCTAGGCCTTAAGCAGTGGCGGACGATTTGTTTTCGTGCTCGGGAGCCGTCGTTGGAGTTGGTTTGTCTGCCGTCAATTTAGATTTATCTGGCGGGGGAGGTTGTGCCACCTTTATGTTTATGTTTATGTTTTGCTTTATTTGCTGATAGGTTTGTTTTTCAGTTTTTAGTTTCTTTAGGATTGTGTTTTGGTCTGGGCCGTTTGGCCTCTGTGAACCCGAGTGTCAACTTATTATCCCGTTGGGATCTGACACTCGGGTATTACTCTGTTGGGGTTTTTTTAGTTGTTGTTAGTTATTTTAGTTGGTTAGTTTTAGTTGCGAGCTTTATTCTAGTGTTGCTAGTCGAGACTCTAGGCGGTCTTCTGACCTGTTCTCCCACTTTTTCAGCTGTTGTCTGCTGTGTATTCAGCCGTTGACTACTGTGTATTCGCACATTTGTGCATTTTAATTTATAATATAATCTATCGTTTTGAGAAAAAAAAAAACCTTTGATCATCAAGATTAATGAAAATTTCATTCTCTTATAAAATGAGTTTGATCGACTCATGTTACGAGAAAAATGTATAAATCTTAAATTAATAGAAATACTAATTTCAACCTTTGATCATCAAAATTCATGAATATTTCATTCTCTAATCTCTTATAAAATGAGTTTGATCTACTCATGTTACGAGAAAAATGTGTAAATCTTAAATTAATAGAAAGACTAATTTCAACCTTTGATCATCAACATTCATGAAAATTTCATTCTCTTATAAAATGAGTTTGATCGACTCATGTTACGAGAAAAATGTGTAAATCTTAAATTAACAAAAAGACTAATTTCAACCTTTGATCATCAAAATTCATGCAAAATCATGCCACGTCACGTAAATGTGAGGGTAATAAGCCAAAAGAGACGTAACAATAATTAATGTACTACCACTTCCATTTCTTTTTCTTTCAGTCATTTTACCGCCGACAAGAAAGGGGCGTGGGCCGAGACATTTTACACACTAAAAAAATAAAATAATTATATGTACAGTGTAATAATGGCGACTCATGAAATTAAGGTATGGATATGCATCAAGGTTATTTAATCACCTCCAAATTAAAAGTATACTATATGTTGTTGAAATTGCTCATTGCTAGTGCAAGAAATCATTCCACGGTTGATAATTTAGGTCCATCTCTAATTCGATTGGCCTATTTTTAGGCAAAAAGTTTTAAAAGATAAATTCAAGCCTAAACCTGAACAATGCCTGTAAGAAGGATATGAATTATTCTTTATAACACGTTTAATACGATTCTCATAATAGAAAGATGGGTTAGTGAAATAAAATTTTAACATCACGCGCACACTAAAAGATTGGATCCATCTCTTAGGGTTGCTTTTCTTTCGAAAGTTTTAAAATACAAACTAAAAATTCGAAACGTGGCCATTTATAATGTCATTTTTCTGTCTAATTTTACATATTCTTTTGTAGAATCTTTGAATTAAAATAAATATTATAATTACACATTTATTTATAAAACGTACTATTAACCTAATTATATATTTGTAATTGTATGAATGTTATTATTTTTTCTCAATTAATTATTATTTTTTACAACACGTCAAGTTACATAAAAAAAGTTATTCAATTATTCATTAAATTACTCTCACCAACTAATTTTTTATGGATTAAAATATTTTTCTTTCTTTTAGCCTCATCGGTCAACTTTGTGCGGCCACAGTACAGATTCCCCACCATTGGCATCTACCACAGTAGAGAGAGAAAAAAACAAAAGAAAAGCAAGCCCAGAACATGCGTAAATTATTAAACAAAATCTCAATTGACAACGAAAGGTAGATTACTTTAATAAATTAACTGAATTTACAGTGTAATTAAAGGAAAGTTGAGAGCATTGAGTAGAAAGAGGAGAGAGGGCAGAAAGGAGAGAGAAAAACGGCAAATAGAAAGGGAAATCCTCGGATCAAGAGAGAGAAAGAGAGAGTGACCATAAAAAAAAGGAAATAGCTAGCTAACAGTAGTGCCTGCAAAAGGGTAAAAAGGTTTGGATTTAAGTAAAAAGAAAGCTCAAAACAGGGCATTTAGATATAACATTTGTGTGTATACATTTAGAGAGAGGTTAGAGAGAGAGTGTGTGTTTGTGTGTGTCTGAAAGGTGTAGTGTAGCAAAGGGGGCAATTAATAATAAAGCTGCAGAATTTGGTCTCTGCTATACTCAACATCCCTCCCTTTTCCAAAGCTCCTCTTGTCTCCTTTTTCAACAAAATCAAGAACCCTTTTTTTTTCTCTCTCTCTCATCACCATCCTTTCTTCTCGCCGGATATTGTTCTGTCCGGCCGGCTCACTGTGTTTTCCCGTCGACCCTTTTCGCTCCTTGTGCTGAAAAGACTAGCCTTTTTCCTAATTTCCCTTTTTTTCCCGGTTTTTAATAGAAAAACTCCGGTAGTCAGCGACCCTTTCCCGGTCAGTAACCGCCGGCATATTTTCCGGTCAGATGGGATCCCAGTGAGAAAGAAACCGACCCCGTGTGTTCTTTTGAGGTTGGAAAAGAGGAGTCTTGAAGGAAGTATATAAGACTAGATAAAAAGAAAAAAAGAGATGAAGACTTCGACCGTTGTCGCCGGAGCTCCGGCGGCTAACGGCGCCGCCGCCGTTGAAGGTAACACCCTTTCAATTTCTCTTACAAAAGGAGATCTATTCTTTCAAATAAGCTTTAAAAACAACTCTTGGTTCTTCCTACATATTCGTTTTCGATCTATTCTTTGTTTTGTGAACAAAGAGATTTTAACTGCAAAAAGAACTGTTAAGCCAATCAAGCCTTTTGTGCCCTCAGCTCGTGTTTCAATTAAAGCTCATTTGATTAACTGAGTTGAGACTTGTGAAAACTCGAAAATATGAATTTTTATGTAATATCAGCAACTCCGCTCGTTAATATTCATGAAAGAGCCAAGGCTCGGGTTCGGGCTCGAGCTTTTTTTTTGTCGGCTCGAGCTTGTTTACACATCTAAATGTTTGACTGAACTCGTTTACACTTCTGACACGTGTGAGGAATGGGTCCTGATCTTGTGCAGGTGAGAAGAAGAACATAAACGGCGAGCTATGGCAGGCGTGCGCCGGCCCGCTGGTGAACGTGCCGGCCGCCGGGACTCACGTCGTCTACTTTCCGCAAGGCCACAGCGAACAGGTTATATAAACAATTTAATTTTCCTCCGGTTATTTTTCAAGAATTCCGATTTTATCCTTCCTGCACCGGGCGCACGTTAAGACTGTTCGTTTGCAGTCGTGTGGAAAATTTCACTGGTGGGGTCTAACCTGCGCCGCTCGTCCACCCATCCATTTTCTTTTTCTTTTTTATGTCCGTTGGGCTGGGCTGACTGCGCCATATATTGTCACATCACATGCAGGGATTTCACAATATATTGTCTTCATTACAAATTACCACATGTCCAAAATAACCCTAGATTTACTGTGTTGTATTATTATTATTATTTTTATTATTATTATTATTATTATTATTATTATGTCCATGCTGTTTTGAGCTGGGGAATTGGAATTATTGATTCGGGTATGACAAGAGGGGTGAGTTGGAGTTTGTTCGCTAAAACAGGAGATTGAATATAAAAAAAAAGTGATGGTACATTATTGGAGTGTGACGTGTGCACTTAATCAAGGGCACTTTATTTCTTATTATTTCTAATGACACAAGTTGAGATGTACTTGTAACCGTATTGATGATGTAGAATATGGGGTAACAAACCATTTCAAATCACAAACATTGCTTACTAACGAGCTAAACATTAGACGAGTCGATCTATTATATTTCTGAAGTCTGTGTACATTTTAAATTTATGAAATTTTATTGTGAAAAAACGTTAATATGTAGATTAATTGTGTCAATACCAACTCGACTCGACTGTCTAAAAGAGCAGACCTTACTTGTTACATGACTTATTGAGCTTTGGAGTGTTAGGTTGGCCTAATCATTAGGCCGACATAGTTTTCTCACAGCTATGCGTACTTTCATTAGGAAATCATACTTTAAAAATAAATATAAGTTTAAGTATGACATTTGATAGTATAAGTATACATTTTTGTTCACATGGTATGGCGGGTCAACCAGCCTAAATGTTAGACGGCGTCACACAAGGATTCACTATTTTCAGAATATTTATTCTGTTTGGACCCAATGCACAAAAAACTATATATCCTATTAATGCACCTGCAAATGTAAAAATCTAGACTTCTAAACTTTAGTAAACACTGTGTTAGGAGAAAACATTTTTAGCATCTTGTACTATGCGCGTTTTTTGGATTTTATTACTTCAGGTAAAAGTTGATTTTGTTTACTATGTGTTCATTGTGCTAAAAATAATTAGGCAAAATTTTCATGTACAGGTTGCTGCATCCATGAAAAAGGATGTTGATGCTCAAATCCCGAACTACCCAAACCTCCCTTCGAAATTACTGTGCCTCCTCCATAACGTCACTTTGCATGTACGCGTAGTTTTACATTTAATGCCTCGTTTATCATCACAACTTGCTATCTTTTACAACTTCTTGTGTGCTCGTCAATGACAAACCAAAACTCGTTTAATGTGGCATATCATTTAGGCTGATCCAGAAACTGACGAAGTATATGCCCAGATGACTCTGCAGCCGGTTCCCTCGGTAGGTTTTCATAAAATGAAATAAAACGAAACAAATGCGCGTAGTAAACACTCCATTTTGGATTTTGTCGACAAAATCAATGGACATTTGCTGTTTTGGTTTGCAGTTTGACAAGGAAGCTTTACTGAGATCAGATTTATCGATGAAAGCACACAGGCCGCAAACGGAGTTTTTCTGTAAAACCTTGACTGCAAGTGACACTAGCACGCATGGTGGTTTTTCCGTGCCACGTCGTGCTGCAGAGAAGATTTTCCCTACTCTGGTTAGTGTGGCAAAGTTTTTTTTTNAATAACTCAACTTCAATTGCTGCTAAATTTCGACAATTTTTCGATTCTTAGGACAACCCAAGCGTCACTTGCTTACGACAGGTTGGAGCCTTTTTGTGGGCGGGAAGCGTTTGATTGCAGGCGACTCGGTTTTATTTATTCGGTAAGTGTTTTTTTTTTTTTTTACAAGAATTTGATCTACAAATTACTCTTATCGATTATGACGATTTGATTGAACACGAACAGAGACGAAAAGCAACAGCTTCTTCTTGGCATAAGACGTGCAAACAGACAGCCGACTAACTTATCTTCATCAGTTTTGTCGAGCGATAGCATGCACATAGGAATCCTAGCGGCTGCTGCCCATGCGGCTGCTAACAACAGCCCGTTTACCGTGTTTTACAATCCGAGGTCATTGACACTTCATATATATATATTTTTTTTTCGATGATTTTTTTTCTTAAATGGTGCTCTGAAATATGTTTTTTTAGCTTGAGCAGGGCTAGTCCATCGGAGTTTGTTATACCTTTGGCTAAGTACTACAAAGCTGTTTGCAGTAACCAGATATCTCTCGGGATGCGTTTTCGCATGATGTTTGAGACTGAAGAATCGGGCACGAGAAGGTAGCTTGAAATGAAATGCTTCTCTGTACTCAGTATTTTAACTTGTCTTATTCGAGTCACGAGAAATTTGACTCGAAACTTAAATTTTTTCTTCCATGGTATTTTTCTTGCAGATATATGGGTACAATAACTGGAATCAGTGACCTCGACCCAGTTCGTTGGAAAAATTCACAGTGGCGCAACTTACAGGTAAATAGTTAAAGTGAAAAAAGATTCGAGTTTTTCATCTCTACAAACTGTGTTGACTCACTTGGCGTTTTTACGTGCGCAGGTTGGTTGGGACGAGTCGACAGCTGGCGAAAAGCGTAATCGTGTTTCCATTTGGGAGATCGAACCTGTAACTGCTCCGTTTTTCATATGCCCCACGCCTCCTTTATTCCGTTCGAAGCGCCCCAGGATACCGGGAATGCCAGGTCGAAAAAGCTTTATTCGAATAAATTCTAAATCATAATAATAACACATAAAGGTCAAAACTTTCACATTTTTTTGTCAGTGTAGAAATGCAATTTGGGGTGTNCAAAAAAAAAAAAAAATGATTAAAATTCATCCATTCAACAAAAAAGGTGGTAATGTAGAGTAGCAACTAGTAAGACAGGCTTTATAGGTTAAGATGCTCTTTTTTTCTCCTTTCTGCCTTTTATACTTTGGTCAATGTTTGACCAATCTTTTTAATCTTGTCCTTGGGTAGTGCATGTTTGAAAGATGCTTGGTCTGACTCTCATCATTAAAGCACAGAAAGATCTTTTTTCATACCAATACTCAAAGCAAGCTTTCAGTCAGCCTTACAATAATATTGAAAAATTAAAAAAAAAAAAAAATGAATAAGGTCTAAAGAAGAAATTATCTCCATTCTCCTTGCAGACGATGACTCAACCGATCTAGACAGCATATTTAGAAGGACAATGCCATGGCTAGGTGACGATTACGGCTTAAAAGATCCACAAGCTGGCCTGCCGGGCTTAAGCCTAGTCCAGTGGATGAACATGCAGCAGCAAAACCCCTCAATTCAGCCAAACTATCTAAACCCTTTACCGAATTCGATTCTTCAAAATCTTGCTAGCACAGACATGTCTCGTCAGTTAGGCGGCTTGCCCTCGCCACAAATCTCCCATCAGCAGTTCAACTCACAGAGGCCAACACAACCGATAGATCAACTGCAAAAGCTGCAGCCTTCGACTCTAAATCCTCTAGGCTCGATTATGCAGCCACATCAGCAGTTGACCGACATCAGTCAACTGCCAAGACAGAATTTGGCGTGTCAAAGTCAAACTTTACCGACGAGCCAGCTTCCTTCTTCCCAGGTTGTTCTGCAGTCGCAAAATCATCCCATCCAAACTCAACCTCAATCTCTGCTGAGTCATCATCATCAGATTCAGCGAAATGTCCCTCAAAACCTTCCGCCACATCAGCAGAATTTAACGACCTCTCAGCCGCCAGATCACGCGAGTCAACAACAACAGTTGCTTTTGTCGGACAATCAAATTCAGCTTCATCTTCTACAACAGAAACTCCATCACCAGCAGCAATCACTTTTACCTCAACAAACCCCTCAACCGACACAGTTCCAAGATCTCCCGCAAAAGCAGCCCATTCTCGATATTCCGCAAAATTTCTCGAGTCCAACAACAAGCCAAATGCTCGAATCGTCTCGAGTGACACCCGACCCACACGATCGCCAGCTGGCAAAAAACGACGCCCAAAATGCCAATTTCCGGTTTGCCCAGCCGAAGCTTCAACAACACCAACAGTCCTCTCGGCTACTATCTGAATTGTCCGAAAACCCGATGATGACAAATCAGCTTTCTGCCGGACGAGCTAGCATTCTGACCGGAGGAGCAAATGCGGGCCCATCTGTAGTTACCGATGATGTCCCATCTTGTTCGACTTCACCTTCCACGAACAACTCACCAAACGGAGTTCAGTCAGTAATAAACGGGCAAAAGGTCCACCGTGGTGCAATGGCAATGGCGGATGAGATTGCTCAGCCGGGCATCAACCCTTATAATAATAATAATAACAATTCAAATGGCGGTTTAGAACCCGTTTCTTGTAATAATAACCTAGTTAAGGATTTTCAGCAGAAAACCGAAGTCAAGCCTTCACTAAACGTGTCCAAAATCCAAAACCAAGCGTTTTTTACGTCTCAGCCTTATCTCAACGGAGGTGGAGCTCAAATGGAATATCTGGACAGCTCATCCTCAGCAACTTCGGTTCTTTCTCAGAACGACGGCCATCTCCCGCAAACGAACTCCATGTCTTTTAATTCTCAGTCGATGTTGTTTAGAGATGGAAATCAAGAAAATGTCCCGTTTGGGGCTGACATCGTCGAAAATCATCAGTTAGCGATGCCGATGATGTCAGATCCTCTGATCACGAAAAACATGATGGGCTGCTCTGGTAAAGACTTCTCCTCGGCCGACCTTTCTTCCGGAGGAGGAGGAGGAATGCTCCCGGCAGCCTACGAGAATACAAAAGATGCTCATCATCAACCAGAGCTCTCGTCGTCTATGGTGTCTCAGTCGTTCGGAGTTCCGGAAATGGCGTTCAACTCGATTGACTCGTCGATGAATGATGGAAGCTTCATGAATGGAGGAGGAGGAGGGTGGGGGGTCCCGCCACAGATTCCTAGGATGCGGACATATACTAAGGTGTT